CTTTGTTCTCTTGTGTAAATCCCCTAACACTCTTGCATTGATTAAAATGCTTCAAAACTTCTTAGTTAAGTTCTCTCCTCTTCGATATGTTCTCCCTTAACGAACGCACTGATTATGTTCTCCCGCCTTAAAGTCCCCTAACGGTCCACCGAACTTAGCATCGTGTTTCAGAATCTCCCGCCTCAACGGACTATTGAACGTAGCATCCACTACTTAAACTACTCCACCAGCAAGAGTCCGGCAGCCTGCTGGGGAATGGCGAATAGAGCATACTGTCTGAAACGTCGAGTTAAATAATCAACTGGTTCTTCTCAGAACCACACAACTCATCACCATGCAAACCCTTAACCCTATAAAAGGGCCGGGTTATTTTGACCATCTCTCAGCCGGTGGGGGGGATTCCGCCCCCCCCCCCCCCTTAGATCTCGGCCATCGAGTCACAAACAATTTTGAAACTAAATACATTCATTCATAGAGCAACTTATCATGGACATACCCAAGAACTTTCATGACTAGGTCAAAGGGTTTTGGAATTATGGTTAATTAACTATTTATATGCACGAATGGTAATTCTGCTCTGTGTACACTATACGTTATGGGAAAATTCAGTTTTCACGGCGCGTAGCGCCGGGAATTTTTTATGTTTTTGGTATCATTCCGCCCCCCGGCCCCTTTAGTGTTAAGTCTTATTTAACTCTTCAAAAGTATAGTTCCCGCCAAAATATTTCAGTCGAAAATCCCAATTGTCGATAAAGCTACAGTCTACTAAAAACGTGGCACGGATATCAACAGTTATCCATACTGAGACCCCCATTAAAGCGGATGGCGCTGGCCAATTCATCGTATTCGACAATATAATGCTGGTGTGTTTTACACTATAGGCTTACCTTTAGTTTGAGCTTTGACTGGAAACTTGTCAATCAAAACCAACAGAAAAGCGAACACCATCAACAGGTATGTGTTCACTCCTTTTCCGGCATCCATTCTAGATGTCGAACAAGCTAAACCTGACGTCGAACAATCTAACGGACCTTTCTTCAGTCACGTTTATCAGAATGTTACTTTCTCACTCCCAATCTACGATATGGTTCGTGCGCAGTTCGGACAGACGGCTATATACTCGACGAGAAAACGTCTGGACAGACTTCGTCGCGAACAGGAAATAGACCAGTCCGCACCCTGGCTGTTTGTATGTACTTGGCAGTTGAAAATATATGGTCTGTCACGTCAAATTGAAACAATAATAAGTGTGCGGGTCCTTTCATCAAGTGAACAAAAGCCACCATGGGACTGGTTTTGCCAACATTCAAACGGGTCCTAGAAATTCACGCTTCAATACCAATAAAAATGACAATTTATTTTACAGCTCCATCATTGGACACGTCAATACCTCGATGGAAAGAAAATTCATCCCATCATTACATTTTTTATGCTCCAGCAACCAAGTGAGCGCCAAAGATATGGCAGCGAACTTTGTCAGTTCTAGCCTTTAGTCAAGTCCCACGTGCCTATACCCGGACCATCCGGACACGTAATTACGCATCCCGGATGCTGGCACCTTAAAAGACTAGCACGAGCGGCGGAGCCGCGAGGGCCTTTACTATCTCGTGGAACTAAGCACTTATTCATTTATTCACGTAATATACATCAAGCAATATAAACCAATCATCTAACGGTGGTTTGCGGTTACCAGCAACAGCACGCGCGCCATGGCGCGCGTGCTGTCTGGCGCCAGACGACGGCTGATTTACGTTAGTAATTCTGCATTTTCATTGGTCAATTCACAACGGGTAATGCATTATGCATGTCTACCAAATCGGTAAACAAATGTAAAGAAAAACATAAGCGTTCTCCACGAGATGGTAAAGGCCCTCGCGGCTTTGCCGCTCGTGCTAGTCTTTTTACGTGTCAGCATCCGTTGTGCGTCACGTGTCCGGGTAAGTGCGTGGGACTTGACTAAAGGCTAAACCAGTTCAAGCTGATAACGTGATATTGGACTTGCTTTCAGGGCCAGCCCTGACAGAGTTGTAAATGGTTACTATATAGACTTTAGTGGTTTAGTCAAATTTAACTGGAGTGCTTTCATAGTGTACATCGCGTTAGTTCCTGGTGCAAGACTTAACAACTATCATGTGTGTCTCTGACTCAATGTCGATTGTAAGCCGGGCAGTGCTATTGTGTAGGATTACCCGTTCACAGCGCCATTGAATGTGCCACATCCGGCCATGGTATACACCACATGCATGACAATATTATAGGAAAACTGGGGAGACGATTGGGAATGCGGAAATCAAAGGACATTTGGAGAAGTTTCATACGTTGTCAAAACTGTATGAAGCACGGCACGAACGGGCTACTGGGCTTTCTTTAATGGCCTGTCACATTATATGCGATCTCATAGGAGACCTTACGGCGACCAAAAATATTTCATAAATTTAACAATCGCAGCGAGGACGCAAGAAAATGACAACTTTCTGTCTCAAAGAAGCTCAAGCTACGCTCGTACTGTGCTCTTCCCGCGCTTACGATGTGCTCAACTCGCTCTCTATGTGCCCCTGTCAAGCTCAATTACTCGATCTAGTCGCTGCCGCTGCGCTGTCACTGCGTTCACACTACGCTCTGCTCGCTGTTGATACGTCCTAGTATCTCGCGTCGCGCTCTCTATACGCTCATGTGACGTCACTTGCGCTGTATAAATATCACGACAAAACGGTCAATACACAGTCCAGTTTCAAAATTATTCTACAAGTTCATCGCAGTCGAGTTACTTTCTCATGGAGACTACATCGACTGCCTTGCGCCTATAGGCTGCCTCAATGCCACTTCAATGTCGCACGATTCACGCTTGCACAGCGCCCGAGTTGCGTCATTACGGCGCCCTGGCCAGAGCGCAGAGGTGTTGCGATTGTTTTGAGCATGTCCAAAGACCTTTGCGCTCATCGGAGACCATTAAGACCCTCTGGAGCCCATCTGGCGACCTATGTAGTTGTCGCTGCGATGTAGTAGTTGTTTTTGCGCCCCAGCTATTTTTCAAGGATGCAGTGAGAGCGCATATAAGATCCGGCAGACAGTGTGACAGGGCCTTTATTGACATTGCGCCATACTGCAAATATAAGCCGTTTTGTACTGAGCAAACCAACAGTTTTTCTTCTTTCCTTCTTTTTTGTTTATTATGTCTCGCAGTTTAATTTGTGGTTGATGGTTGAGCGGTATGCGGAAGGAACTCGATCAAGAACTTTTGAGGGAAAAAAAAAGAATAGTCGCGGAGGCATGAGGTGAAAAAAAAACCCAACATCAACAACATACACACACGCAGGCTGTTGACTGAGAGTTACTTCAATAACATCGAGTACAAGGGAATTCCCCTTTGAAGGCCCGAACTAGTTGCCTTAAACCTACTTAGTTTATCCATGTAAACCTTTGGTCAAAATTCATGAAAATTTTATGATGTTTCACGCAGTATTTAAGGAACGACTAAAAAAATGAGATGCATCGAAAGATGCATGCAGCTGGTTGTTGCACACATTTGAACACTATGAAATGGACTCCCAGGTAGCACACTGACGTTGGCCCGACGTCGGTTTTGGTCGACGGTCAGTCGGCAAAGTCGGGTCGGTCCAAGTTAGTCTCACAGACGTCGCAACGACGCCCTTTAAAAAGGCCGTCGGTCTAAGAACGTCTTGCCGACGTCGGTCCTTATAAGTCTTGCCGTCATATGCCTAAACGTCGGTGCTGTGACGTCCAGACGTCTACGGTATATCTGACCAACGACGGCGGGATAATGATACTGTCGACACGTCCGAAGCAACGACGTCGGCGGGACCGTGTACCGGCCAACGTCGGATCGATATTGAAAAAAGCTTGCCGACGCGAGGGTCAGTCAGAGCGTCTTGCCGTCAATGCCAAACAGCAGCTGGCCAGTCTACGTCGGAAGCTTTGCCTACTTTGTTTGTAGATATTAGATAGCAAAGATATATTGTTGGTAAAATCAGTTTCCAAATTGACATTGGACAAGCTAATTTGCGTTTGTTTTCTTCTCCTTTTTACGAATACTTTGGGCGAATTTTGTCTTTAAGCGAATATTTAAGTGATTAAAAAAGGAATTTGCACCACTCGGTATTTTCTACATTTTACAGGGCTAGTTGTTTCTAAGCTCTCGCTTTAAGTTTAACACACACGTATTTAAATTAAATCGGCCAAAAGGCACGCTGCCGACCCCCTCGTACTTAATTTATCAGAATTGGCCACGCACTAGCCAATCACACAACCCCAATGATGTAAGAGTGGCCGATGATTTCAAGGTTGCGAGGCGGACGCTGGCTAATCAGTTTACATACCGCTCCGTTCACAAGTACCCTCACCGGCAAAGAAAGTACAGTTGGGGTGACCGACCGACGCCATCTTGCCTGACTGCAATTTTGCCGCGACGCCGCACAGCCACCACTAGCACTGCGTGTACATAGTACAACTGAGTCCCCTGGTGTACGTGTGTCACACACAAGGAACGGTGCGCGTCAACCAGCGAAATGTCCCGTCATGGGACGTCGTTGCTAGGTAAAATGCGATTATCTTCAGCCATGAAGTCTGCACTCGTAAGGAAGAAAGAAAGAAAGAAAAAAAGGGCGCCCTCTTTTGTTGGCGCACGGAGACAAGGAACTGCACGCACACCAGTCACACTATGCTACACATAGCATATTTGGACACGACAGCACAATGGTACTCCCACACGTCATTTTATTTCGAGTAGCAAGTAAGAATTTTGCGTTTAAACATTTAAAAAAAGAATGTCCATGCTTTCGCGGACAAGTGAGGGCGCTGTTTCTGTGATGTCGTTTCAGGAAGACACTGTTCGGTTTAGGGGGTTTCTGTTTAAACGGTGAACCCAAAATGTGCTCATTAAAAACTTTTTTTTGAGAAAACTTTGCTCATTAGCCCACTGCGATGTACTGAAACAACAACTAATCACCAACGAAAAGAAATTTTACACACACAGCAAAACATCCAAAATTATGGCAATTTTTCTGCCCAAAATTACATCACTGTTATTGCTCATAAATCTCGAAAATTCGAATTAGCATAAACACCAAAAAGACACCAAAATGCACTTATACATGGCAAAATGAAAATTCAAAATAAGGTTAAATGGGACACGAAGTTGCATTTACAAGGACTGCATTAACAAATCACATTACATTACATGGGCCCTTTAAAAAATTTAACAAAAATAGGCTTCGTATAACAAATCTTTACAATTAATAATTATCTGTATAATCATTAAATGAACAATGAAATTGACGAATCATCTGCGTACAGTGCAGTAATAAGGCTACAAAAGAACGTTATTCAATCATTCTGGGTACTACTTAAAATTTCAATAAAAGGAGGCTTCGTATATCAAATCTTTTTTTTACAGTTAAGTATTATCTGCATAACCATTAATAGTACATGTACATTTACGGAAACATAGGTTTTACTTTTTTACTATGTATTTCATTCTATTTTATCTTCATTTTGTTCGCATGGTTAAACATGAAGTTTGGGTAGGCCTAAAAAAAATATATATAAGATATATATAATGTGCATCTACAGTAATCTGCGTGTACATAACAAGCACTATATCCTTGTTTAGGTCAGTATATAACTATCAACCCACACAAAAGCATATGGGTTCCCCAACTGTACCGCAGAACAAATATCATCGGAGGAGTTTTGATCATGCATCCCCCGGCTCCCAAGAGAAATCGTTATCGTTTGGTATGATAATGAAAGATTCAGCGAATTGTGTACATGCTTTTTAAGTTATACGTGGTATTCGATTGCGGTTGTTGCAAATTTGCAAGGAGGCCTAGGAGTGACAAATTTCCCGACAAAGCAAGCATGGCTAACTTTTTACAGTTTATGTAGAAACATTTCATGTTAGCATTTTATGTGTCTTTAATAGGTACACTCAGCAACGTTAAAAGTATAGATATATATAATTGAATAAGATATGTGTTTTTGTTAAACTGTATCGAAGCATACACAATATTATACCATAATCTGTTGTAATTTTCCCTGCCATCCCTTTCCAAGACCTGGTGCATTTTGTAAGCTTTTTCCTTTTCAATCAAAGAAATTCTTGTAAAGAGGACAAACTCCCTTCATTTCTGATCTTGATTAAATTTCATCGAGCGAAAAAGTTATTATTGTGTGCCGCATTCATATCTCTGATAAATGCCTTGCTAATCGGCCAGTCGAGACTCGAAGTTACAACTTAAATTGAATTTCTACTTGGTCGTTCTTTATTCATCCAAAGGAGGTTTGTCATTCTGTACCAGCTGTATGCCATTGTCAAATGTATCAGGTTCGTTCGTCAGTTCAGGTTAAACCACGCCCACTTGCCATTAAGTAGCATGTGAAGAATTGGAACCGGAAGATAACGCCGTACAACTTGAGTGATTATCCAATGGGCGCTAGCAATCAGTGGTGCACGCGCGTGCGTGACGTTTTTACTAACGAACTGGATAGTTGATATGGTGTTCTTCAATCCTGCATTTTGTCAACAATGAAATTCAATTTAAGTGTTTCAGTCCCCTCAATTTTCCAAGGAAAACATTCAGATGTCTTGATCAGATGTCTTATACTTGAGGACCACCACGCTCTCCTGGAAGTCAGTAGCGGACACGTCAAATTTGGTGACGACACTGCTAGAAGGGGAACTGATGGATTGAGAAGCAGTGCTTGAAACCAAGGCCACGTCATATGACCGCTTTGGCAAGTGCAATTCCCGACCGCAGCAGATGCGCTTCATGTAGGGTGCAAAGGCGTCGCGGACCTCCTCGCGTCGAGCGCAGAACATGAGGAACACAAGCACGCCCTGAAAAGAAAACAAGCGGAGAAGGTGAACATTTAACAATGCCTGAGATATAAGACTCTCCAGATCGTGCTCTGTAAAATTCAACAAGCTTTTATAAAACCGTAGACTTCACAATCAGGCAATTTTGGCAATATCGAGATGACTAGACTACAATAGTGTCATTTTGTACTACAAGACAAGCATGCTCAATCAATAACTGACTAACTGACTCAATGACTAACTCATTGACTGACTGTACCTTGTCTAATTGGCAGTGCTGTCGTATAGGACTATCCCTTTAGGCCAATAAATGGGCCATATCCGACCCATTGGTTATTGTAGTAATGTACATCCTGAATCAGTTAAAATGCCTCCCCCTCCATTTACCTGCAAGGAGTTGGCCAGACAGAAGATGAGTTGAAAGGTAAAACTCGCTTCTTCGATGGCCAGGAACCCAAAACACCAGGTCAAGCCCATAAGGGCGGAGATTCCCACGGCATTCTGGAGGCGTTTGGAGATCTGCTGGGAGCGAGATGCCTCTTTGACCTTCAGGAGACTGCGCATGACCAAGATGAAGGTGATGATGTTGTGGAGGAGGATGAGACCAATGGGAGCAAGGAGGCCGAGGTACAGCACAAGACCAGGCTCAAGGAAGCAGCTGCAAACGAAGAAATATTAATCATCATTTTTTAAATATTAGGTAGGTAACACCAGCTTTAATATAATACTTAATAACCTGCATAAGTATCACAGTCGCATCTGTATAAGTCTTTGGACATTTTCGAAACTTTGTCTTTGTTTCCAGATTCGGCATGAGTTAAAAGATGTAGAGGCTCTGACTCTGGAGAATTCGGCTCATTATGGGTCCAAGGTCTGCTTGAGGAGTAAAAAATCATATTCGTAAGAGAATAAAATTTAGAGTAGTTTAGATTGTAGAAGGTTCTTAAATTCCCTGCATACAGTGAAGTAAGCAGAATTTTGGGACAAAGCAGACGTTTCGAAAACTTCTCTATATGATAATAATTAGGTAGAGAGAGGTTTTGAGTAATTGGATGAATCTTAACAGCGCCCTCAGATAAGCTAGCATGATCATTCACTTACTAATGTTCGTTGGCAAAGTGATGTGATGCTGCAGCCAATGTGATTATCAACACAATCAATGGTGAACCTAAAAAGGGAGATACAAATCTTATTCTTGATTCAACGTGAATTAAATATTGATTCAACTGATGATAACAATGATTTTGCTTAGTATCTATTTAATGTTTGAGTTAAACTCACCCCAAGCGATGAGGCAAGCCTTGAGCACGTATCGAGGCGTGTCTTCAGGGAACACCTTCACCGTACTGACGTACATGTTCCTGGCTTCAACGGCCATCCACATCATAGTGGACAGAGTCAAGTAGTGGAGTAAAGCAGCCACGAACACACAACCACCTCCGGAACCCTTTTAAATTGAAGTAGATATAACCGTTATAATTTAAAATCAAGACTATATACCGGTCCTGGCCACTTTTGACCTCTTCGTGGCTCTAGATATCTATCGTCCCTTAAATTAAACTGAACAGTTTCGTGCGTTATGTTACATTGGTCACCTTAGCATTGTCGACGCCGGCAACGAACACGATGTACAGCATGAACAACGAGAAGCAGAAATTGATGAAGATCTGACGAGATTTGCCTCTTCGCAGTTTCCTACAACATTAAAACGTTAAGATGTTTATATATATTCTTTTTTTTAGCACTGCCTTACAGCGACAAGACAACACATGGAACGTATGAGTAATAAGCATACACAGAACATGGTTGCGTTTAATTTTTTTGATCGTTTCATTACAATGATCTTACCTGATAGCTAAGTATATGATCAGCGTGATAGCCAGAGCTATGATTGACAGTGCAGCGCCAACCTGGCTGATGATATCAAGCGCTCGCTTAGCAGGAGTGTCATCTTTATCGTCAGGTGCTTGGCCCTTCACATCCTGTGAGAAACGTCAAACCAGTTACGAATCCAGACAATATTCATAGTAGCATCTATGTATCTAAAAAGTAAAATGATCTCCTAATTACAAACGTGGAGAAATATTCAGTGAGTGAAGATGAAGTGTTTTTGTTGGCATTGAATGTAGGCATTTCAAAAAGGTACAAACAGGGAAATAATGAAGATTTTATAGAACAATGTATTGTATTTAATTCTGATAAAATTCCTTCTTTTCCTGACTTAACGGACCTTCCTTTTTCGTATGGCTTAAAGTAGTGTAACTCTTTCTTCGAACTGAAAGAGGTACTCTTTTAATTGCTTTGTGATGTGCTCCATGGTCTAAGCTTGGTACAACCTGCGGGAGTCTATCACCTTGTCGCATTCTTAAATGGAAAAAGCTTTATGTAAGAAGTTTGGAATCATAATAAGATTGAAATATACATACCACTAGGATTGCGAAGTTGGTGGCATGAGAGCAATTACACACGATCGTCTTATTGGTCATTTCAGCAAGCGCGCATCCATCTGTTGTCCAATCGCCGACTCCATCTTCCAGCTCAAAGTCCCAGGACACGCATTGGCCTTCGCTTGATTCCTCCTAAGTTTCGAAATCGGAAGATTGATAAAAGGTACACAAAATTGAATGAGGGCAAAATCTGAAATGATTAGCTTAATGGACATTAACGTTATTTGGCAAGAATATGCCCTCATCATTAATACTGAAGTATTCTACTCTGGATAAACAGGTATATTCTCATGATCACCTTGAATTCAATCACGACTGGTTCTGTGAGGTTGACAAGTTCAACATTCTCCACAGTCAGTGAGACGACAGATCCAGCGACCTTACGAGTCGAGTTACCCTCCCCTCGATGCTCTCTGATCGAAGCAGACTGGAACAACGTGTCATCAGCGTAGATCAGGAAACTGGCTTTCAGCTGAGCTACATTTTGAAGAAATAGTTTAAAGAGGTACGATTCTCATATTTGGTTTGCACTTCCCCCGAAAATCTTATCAACAAACAACGTTTCATAGTGTCATCCCTTGAAATATGTTTTAAGATTCTATGAAAATCTAATTCCGGAGGCTTAGGTTATGCCAAGATTGCCATCATAACTCCACTTCCAATAAGGAACAGCAGAGCGTCTCTTGCTTGAGGACACACGTACGCACAATTTGAACCATTGCATGCATAGTAGACCTCAGCAAGCACCGCATAGCCCCACCCTCTTTTCATCTTATCAAATATCGATTACTCACATAATCTTTGATCACACATGATGAACTTACCATTAGGAGACGGTAACAAATTGATGATGTTGCCAGGCAACCGAGCCGATGCCAAGACATCGAGATCCCTCGGTATCACACTAGAGTTCAAAGTCTCGACCTCGGTACCGGCAAGGGTGCCCTCTTGCGGTGACCCTTGTCCAGGATACGTCACATTTGACTGTTTCACGGACATGAAGCTGAGTCCGTTCCCGGTCTGGTTTGGTTCAAGACTGACCGCCTCCACGTGGATTGAGTCCTGACGTATACTGACTTTACCCTCTTGCTGAAGTGTCAGGGAGATTTGAGTCTCTACGGATTTAACGATGGCTGAGGAGGTACCAGCCTCGATATGAGTGGGCTCGGAGTCAGGAGTTTCAGGCCAAACACTCATGATGACATTGCTGACAGTCTCCAGCACTAGTTCTGTCACCTTCAAGAAATCATGATTATAATTAAACTTCAATAACATATATTTCTACCATATGTTCCACAGCCCTTTTTTCTTTGAACCATGTATAAAGTCCCCTCTCCGGAATGGTAATTCACCATACCTCTTTGTCCCCCGATCCTGCTTTAACGATGTTCTCCAAAATGCTGGCAACCATCGCAACATCTGCTGCCTCCTTAGATGAATCTGACGTCCGATTGGCTAGAAACTCGGCCACTTCGACTGCATTGCCTTTGCTAACCTCAACCTGTCAACGAATATGGTTCATGGTCACATCTTCATATCTAAGCTTCTTAAAACACCGCATCTGCCTGCAGTTTTTCACAATTTGCTCAAGTAAACACAGTGTGATTCAAAAACTAGGACCTCTCTGCAAGTGCCACCATATTAGAATGCCTTTCTGAAAATTGAGCCATCATCTAATTTGGATCAACTAACGTCCTGAGATAAAACAAATTACCTTGACGACGTTTGCGAGAGACACTTCCTTCTTGTCCCCGCAGCCACGAGTCTCCTGCTCCTCCCATCGGAAGTAGAGAGGAGCCTCCAACTTTGAACAGTTTCGGACGGCTACGGGTTGACCGGCTTCATTTAGGGTCATTAAAACGTAGTAATGCAGATGAACAAAACCATTTTATCAGAAGAAACTGAATTGTTCTAATAAATGCGATATAAGTGAGTCTTGCGGCCAAGAAACAGCGAACGAAAAAGAGAAAGAACAAAGAAGAGGTGGAGAGACGATTAAGAGAAAGAATGGATACATCAGGCAGAGCAAGGAACATTTTGGACTATGGTGAAGGTTTCAAAGACTGTGACAGATTCTAAAGTCAAACCATTTTCAGTTGTCAGTGGACATCGTTGGACAGACTTGGCAGTGGATCCAGCTACTGCTACAGGCCATCTCAGACCGTCATTGGTTGTGTTGGTTGGGCACTGACCTGTTGTGAAAGCACGACAAAGCGTTTTACTAATCTCTCACTCAGTTATTTTAAAATTCTTTTGATAGGGGTCCAAACAAACTCTTTGAACTATCTTTGCCAAGTTTTGAAATACTCATTTCTCACCTTGTACCACAACAAAGAGTGAACATTCGAAGTGCAGATTGTATGCTGCAAACGATTGCTGATAGTCTACTCGGTGAGTTCCTATCAACAATTCAACACCAGGATTGCAACTTGAGGTGAAGTTTGTAGGTCCGTCCCATCCAGTTAGATCCGGTTCCAACCAGCTCACACTGGTACTGGTCGAGCCAGGACTTGCTAATGCCGAGAAATTGGCTGGGCAGACGAGTTTCACCACTGAGAAAGAAGACCAAAAAGTTATAACTAAGTACCTGCAGAGCTATTCTGTTTGTGAAATTGAGGAAGAAACCTTCATTCTTATTTAGGAAAGCACGTGGATAGACGGCTGGAATCCGAGAGAAGTGACTCGAGTTGAGTCGAGTCATTAGGTCAAGAAGGTCGAGTCGAGTCGAGTCAAGTCACAGTGTGTGGTCGAGTCGAGTCAAGTATGTAGCTCGAGTTAATTCGAGTCACAAATGTTTGAACACTATACAATAAATAATCACAAGAGAGAAAGTCATTTTTATGGTTTTTTGTTTTCGTTCGGGCTACTACATGTGGTGACACCACATTTGACTCTTATTGAAAATAAAAAAGGGGTGCCAGCTGATCGCCATGGGCCTTATTCATGAGTTGGCCATTTTTGTCGAGTTCCCTGAATGTATTTTATTAATTGTTAACTGTTGACTGGGATGGCGCCAGACTTTTTATGTGGGCACAATGCAGCCTTATTTTACTGTCATTTGTTTTTAAATATGGCTTTAAACATTAGGGAATGTTTAATTACACATGTTAAATTCTTCATTGAAGCAGACTGAAATTTATTATACATTAACTTGCTTTCATTCCTCTTCGCAAGTTCCAAAAATTAAGATTTTACCTAACTTTCAATTCAATATGGCCGATTCGTGAATAAGGCCCATTCAACTTATGGGAACATATTATTCGCGACCATTCTAACGTGACGTGAACAAAAACCGGCACCGGCGTAAGCCATTGCAAATATTTTTCGCAAAGTTTGCTTCTATTTTTGGGACTCTTATTAGCCTTCCTCGAGTCGAGTCGAGTCATTCTGATGAGGGACTCGAGTCGAGTTGAGTCATTTGATCGCAGTGAGTCGAATCGAGTCGAGTCATTTGCCCTTAGGGACTCGAGTAGAGTCGAGTCATCAAAAATTGTGACTGGAGTCGGACTCGAGTCGAATCATTGACTCGGATCATTACAACTCTGGGTGATATCAACAAAAGCAGGCAGTAGTAAAGAGGTTGTGGAATGCTCGAAGACATTTCCGTCATTTTTTGGGTATATGTAGCCTAAGGTGTTCACACGTGTGATGAAATAAAAACGACTATTGTGTCTGTCATGAAATGAGTACAAAAGGTACTCCCGATGCAGCGTAGTATGAACAAGTCCTCTTTATTACGTCACGATTTACTATGTTTCGTTTGCTGCCCCCAACGACGACTTTTACACAAATTGCAAGTTCGGGTCGAAACATGACCTGAAAAAAGCTCTCAAAAGTACCTTTAGTACTCATTTCATGACAGACACAATAGTCGTTTTTATTTCATCACACCTTAGGCTACATATACCCGAAAAATGACAGAAATGTCTTCGAGCATTCCACAACCTCTTTAAGACATCATTAATCCGTCCAGGATATATCAGTGGCGAATTCTGAATTCTGAAATGAGGAGTTGCAGTCAACGCATAAACATACGAAACACCTGGCAGCAATAGATCAAGATTTGTAATATGGAGGGATTTTGTAATGCAAGGAACTTCAGGAAATGTTGGTCTTTTTTCCAGTATGTAAATACGAATGTAATTAACATTGGTCAGTCGGGGGTGGTTAACCACCCAAACCACCCATTGGATCCATCCTTGCATAGGAGAGAGGCGCAACAACTGATGACAAACTGACTTGTGTGTTCACCAAACACAAAATCAATGAAACCTTCAAACACGTCGGCAGGCAGGTTTCAGTTGAGCAATTGAACATAAGTTAATTGAATGGTTAATTCATTGTCGTTAGACACATTAACTTTTGACGCAATCAAATAAATGGAATCAAATAAAGCGAAATAAAATCAAATACGGCTACTCAATAAGTGATATATATAACGAATCGGGACGGCATTTCCACTATCTCAACAGGCCTAAGCACCGCATAAGCTATAATGAACATGTTATGATCCCATTGCTCGGTGTTTTTTAAAGTCAAGTTGATGAAGTTTAACATGAGAAAGTTACAGAAAGGTACACACCTGTCACTGTCACGGTGAAGTTACAAGACGCAACGTTCCCGTCTTGGTCTGCAACTGTGTAGGTTACCATGGTAACATTACCCACGGGGAACATGTCACCAGGGTGATGGCTAGGGTTCCATAGCAACGGCGAGTTTGGATCTGATGCTGTCACGTTAGGCCACGCCACGGGGACTGATTCTATGCTGAGGTCCACTAGACGATAAATGTCGCCCGGGCAACCGGTGGTGAAAGTAGGTGGGGTCAGATCTGTGACGTAAAGAGATTAGTAAGGAGAGAATAAAAGTGACATGTGACCGGGTCACATGAAAACTGTGTTAATTGATCGTCGACGTAAAAGTGACGGGGTTTCTAGCAAGATGTATCAAGCACGATTAAGTTTAGTACACGTGCGCATCACATGCAGACGATACGAAAAGGAGTTTTAAAGGCTTATAAACGTTTAAAAACAGTTGGATTAATCGATATCCTGAAAAAATCGATGTTTTGAACATCACTTATAAAGAAATGCAACATTTTGGGGTATGGTTTCGCAGAAAAGTGTTCGGGTGTAAACATTTGAAATGACTGCCTACCTATGACTGTGATTTGCATGTTGCAGTTTGCAACGTTGTTGATGGCATCTTTGGCAGTGTACTGCAATGTGTGCACAGACTGCGCAAGACTCAAACTGATGCTGTCATTTACAAGATGCATGGAACCATCTACGTCAATGGTGATTTCGAACCATCCGCTGTTGTCGTATGCAGAGACAGGATGAGGAAGGATGACCGTAGCAAAGTTCTGGTTTGTATCCGTCTCGGTGGTTTGATCGGATGGACAGGTGATGACTGGCGGCTTATTTTCTGAAAGTAAATACTATCAATCCTCATAAAAATGTACATACCTGTTATCCTGAGGAATGCTACTCGCTGATTCAAAATAGTTTATTTGGACCTAGACCCTTACCCACGCCTTTTGGGTCGGATCCAGACATCAGAATTGACGACTTAATGTTAAATGACAACAGTAACAATTCTCAATCGTCTTAAAATCATTAATCCAGACCAGTATATGGCTATATTGGGATGATGTTGACTATATCAAGGTTTAAATGACCCTTCTGTCCCTAAGCCTCCAAGCCCTTGCATCATACAACCAGCGGCGTAGCTACGGGGTATTATTTGTACTCGGTGACAGCAAATATAAAAAAGAATACATTCTAAGTGAATCGTAATGCATGTAGCATATTGCTATATTTTGTGGTATATTATTTTAATATAACACAGTAAAGGCTTACCAATAACGGTGATTTGCGTGCGGCACGTTGCATAGTTGTTTGCATCACTCGCTGTATATTGCAGTACATATGAGGAGTTTGCCATACTCAATCTGACCGTGTCATTAACACAGTGCGTAGAATCATCAACGTCAATGGTTATTTCGAAATGTCCACTGTTGTCGAACGCAGAGGCTGCGCCGGGGAGGGTAAATGTTGCGAAGTTCTGGTTTGTATCTGTCTCGATGGTCTTATCGGGTGGGCAGGTTATCTCTGGCGGCTGAGTATCTGAAAGGAAAAATTATTAATATTGACACCAATATATATTTGTAGGTTACCCGACATATAATCACCTTTTAGGAGATCCTGATCCGCAGAGCCATGACCTCTTCCTTTCGCGGGCCGCGGGATGCAGAAATCAGACTTGACGAACTAAGTTAGTTAGATGAAATAGTAAACCATTGTCAATACTCTTTAAGTCAGCATTTCAGACCATTTTTGTATGGCTATTGGGATTGTTGACTACGTATTCAAGGTTTATATGAGAGGGCCTTCTGCCCCTTAGCCCCCTCTTGCATCATCCAACGCTACGGCTTGAGATCCTTCCAGAAAGTAACATGATATGCATAGCCTTGCTGGATCAGTACTGCAGTGACACAGCCAATGAGTTAGTCAGAGGACGGGAGGCCGGTACTTCGGATCCAGCAAAAATTAGAAAGAATACATTTAAAGATAATCTTATTACATGAGTTATATTTTGTGATATAATGTAATACGATAATCGCCTACCAAGAACGGTGATTTGCGTGCGGCACGTTGCAACGTTGTTGTTTGCATCACTTGCAGTGTATTGCAGTACGTATGGGGAGTTGGCAAGACTCAAACTGACTACGTCATTAACACGGTGTGTAGAACCATCCAAGTCAATTGCGATTTCGAAATGTCCGCTGTCGTCGGATGCAGAGGCTGCTTCGGGGAGGGTAAATGTTGCGAAGTTCTGGTTAAGATCTGTATGAATCGTCCGATTGGGTGGGCAGGTAATCTCTGGCGGTTGATCAGGATCTGAAAGAAAATATGATTAATCTTCACATCAATGTATATTAAATAGGTTTCCCGCCATATCTTCACCCCATAAGAGGAATACGCTACATGTAGGCCCATGTTGATGCCAAATAGATAGACCCGGAGCCTCCTCCATCTCATTCGGGGTAGGACCCAGATATCAGACTTGACAGGCGAATGCGAAGCGAATTTGACGTCAGGGGAGCACTCAATGCGAAATTCGCCGGAGGCGAAATGTGTTCAACTTGTGCGAATTCGCATCGCCCTGACGACACAAAGTCGCGTTCGCTTTCGCGCCAAGTATGAACCGGGCTTTAGATGAGACAGTGACAATACTCAATCATCTTGAAGTCAGTATTCAAGACCTTTTTTCATGGCTATTGCGGTTGTTAACTATACGTAGTCCCTCTTACTAATCCCCCTCTTGTATCATCCAACGCCTTTCAAGAATCTTCCAGAAACTAACATGACATGGGCGTCGCGAGGGGGGGGGGGCAAGGGGGACAAATGCCCACCCCCCGGAAAAGCAACCAAAAAAAAAAAAGGAAGAAAAAAAAGAACAAAAAAAAAGAAAAAGAGGCGCGAAGACAAAGTGGTGTAAATTTAATGAGTCGGGGGGGGGGGAGGGCAAAATGTCCCTGCCCCCCTCTAAAACTGATAAATCGAGAATGTGTTGAGAAATACAAGCATTTTTTGGCAAAAAAAAAAAATGTTGCCCCCCTCTAAAAAAAATCCTGGCGACGCCCATGTAACATGATACGCAAAGTCAAGCTTGACCCAAAATTGTCAGTTTCGGGTATTATTTGTACTCAGTGACACAAGTCAGCGAGTTAGTCATAGGGAGAATGCTGAGCACGAGCGTGATCTTTTCGACGCAAACGTCGTCACTGTCACCACGAAACGAAGTGACACTAACATCGAAAAATATTTTGCGATTTCAATTTTTTTCCTAATTTGTGATTAATTACACATAATCTATCACCTCAGGAAGTTACTATAGACAGAGTTAACTAGTTTTGTCAAAATATTAATTAACATTAATTTACGTTTGTAACTTAATGGGTCAAAACCGGAAACTTCGTTTTCACGAAGTGTACTATACCATTCTTTCGCGTGTAAAGTGACTGCACACTACGTGTCAAAAACGGGTTTTGCGTTTTCACAAAGTAACACAAATGTCACGTGATATGCGCAACTCACTTCTGGCGTTATCACGAAGTAGCGCTGAGCCCATAGCTAATACACATGGTTTGCGTCACTTCGTGAAAACAGCGTTATCTGATTTTTGAGTTTTCACGAAGTGTACTTATGGTTAATTAGTTTGATAACTCATTAATAGTTATTTTGTTCAATAAAAAACATGCATTAACGTGTCATTCAAGATCCCAGCTTTCAGACAATGCATCAAAATATGAATTTTGAGGCTAAAACAATATTCAGATAACCGTTTCAAAACATCGTCAACTTAAATCGGTTTTATCTCGAAACACACATTTTGCACTGTGCGGGGGTTAAAGTTACTTCGTGGTGACGGTAACGACGTGCGCAAAGGACCCTGGAAATTACACGTTTAAAAGACGTCTGGGAAAGGCGGGACTTCTTTTCTATCGTTATAAAGAGGGTGAGTACGCTTCTAAAGCGTAAATAAACTACAAATAAAGTCTAAATGTGAAATTCAAAATTTGACAAAGTTCTACATTTTCGGGTACATGTTCCAAGTGTGGCCCTTATTTACGGAGATGGTCCAGTAAATTGGCCACATTTTTTATGGGGCTAGTTGCGTATATAGCCGCCAGCATCCCTTGCAGTGTATTGTAAAGCGTGTGGAGAGTTTACAAAAAAAATACTCAAACTGACTATGCCATTAACATGGTGTGTAGAACCATCTGCATCAATGGTGATGTCGAAATGTCCGCTGTTGTCGGATGCAGAGGCTGCGGAGGGGAAATGTTGCGAAGTTCTGGTTTGGATCTGTCTCGTTCTGAAAGCGTTAAAGGCAGTGAATGTGTGTTAAATAGTACAAAACCCGAATTGGAGATAGCTTTCATATAAAATGTATTTTCGATCTCGTAAAAAAACTCAGTCTGTTATCAACAACTTACTACATCGAACCCCGGCATCCTCGCTATGCACGCAGTTGTGTCCCGATCCCTTTATTGCCTGGCAATCAAACACTGTCTCCTCGTTACCCGTGCAATGAACATCATCCAACAGTATGTCTCCGGTTCCCTCACCAAATGCAGCTTTACGGGGAGCCGCATACGCTTCTCCAAAACCCAGTTCCCGGCAGATAACGGTTGCGTCTCGTAGGTCCCACAAGTCATCACAGACCGTCCCCCAAGCACCGTTCCAGAACACCTCCACTCGACCTTCCATGGAGTCCGACCCGCCTACCAAACGAACTATCAAAACCAAAAGAAATTTCTTTGACTCAGTAGGGAAGTTCAAGCCTAGATCTAGTGCCCAAAAAACTAAAAGTAGAAAATAGATCCAGAACCACATTTTCGGGGGGGGGGGGAGGAGAAGGTTTTTTTTCCAAAAACAGGTAACTACGATAAAGATGCCACACCCACAGTCTTAATTCTTTCGACATTAATTTAGTGTCTTTTGAAGGTTTGATTTCGTGCATTTTTGTTAGTATTTTTGGCTCTAGTTTTCTTGCCTGCGTTGTTTTCTCAGGCTTTCCTTTTGTTTTTCGATACAAATAACTGTGGGCAGTATTCTTAACAAGTTTCAGTAATAAATGTTGTTAACTTAGTATTTTAGTTACCTTGAATTCAAGGAAATCATGGTGGATCATTAACTTATCTCTGTTCCTTGAGGTACAAAGCGTACTACTGGTACACAGTGCGATATTGCGGAAACAAATAAAGTTTCTCATGAAATGAACACTTCAAACAATACTTCAAACAATGAAATGTTCATACTTCAAGAAATGAAACGTTTATGGAAGCCGACAGTTAAAATAATTACAGATACCGATACCTTTGGTTATCAATTTGGAAATTCCCCGTGTGTATATAACAAGAAATCAATTATCAAGTCCAGACCCAACCTGCTAAAGCTTGTTGCGCTCAAGATCCTCGCCTATTTTCCTGTACAATTATAGGCCTAATAAATCCATCACTTCCCAAAAAAGTCGCCTTTGTTCTCTTGTGTAAATCCCCTAACACTCTCGCATCGATTAAAATGCCTCAAAACTTCTTAGTTAAGTTTTCTCCTCTTCGATATGTTCTCCCTTAACGGTCAACCGAACTTAGCATCGTGTTTCAGAATCTCCCGCCTCAACGGACTACTGAACGTAGCATCCACTACTTAAACTACTCCACCAGCAAGAGTCCGGCAGCCTGCTGGGGAATGGCGAACAGAGCATACTGTTCGAAACGTCGAGTTAAATAATCAACTGGTTCTTCTCAGAACCACACAACTCATCACCATGCAAACCCTTAACCCTATAAAAGGGCCGGGTAATTTTGACCATCTCTCAGCCGGTAGGGGGGGGATTCCGCCCCCCCCCCCCCCACTTAGATCTCGGCCATCGAGTCACGAACAATTTTGAAACTAAATACATTCATAGAGCAACTTATCATGGTCATACCCAAGAAATTTCATGAATATAGGGCAAAGGGTTTTGGAATTATGGTTAATTAACTATTTATATGCACGAATGGTAATTCTGCTCTGTGTACACTATACGTTATGGGAAAATTCAGTTTTCACGGCGGTGGTATCATTCCGCCCCCCGGCCCCTTTAGGGTTAAGTCTTATTTAACTTTTCAAAAGTATAGTTCCCGCCAAAATATTTCGGTCGAAAATCCCATTTGTCGATAAAGCTACAGTCTAAAAACGTGGCACGGATATAAACAGTTATCCATACTGAGACCCCCATTAAAGGGGCTGGCGCTGGCCAATTCATCGTATTCGACAATATAATGCTGGTGTGTTTTACACTATTTAACGAAAAGAGGTTTACCTTTAGTTTGAGCTTTGACTGGAACCTTGGCCATCAAAACCAACAGAAAAGCGAACACCATCAACAGGTATGTGTTCACTCCTTTTCCGGCATCCATTCTAGATGTCGAACAAGTTAAACCTGACGTCGAACAATCTTACGGACTTTTCTTCAGTCACGTTTATCAGAATGTAACTTTCTCAGTCCATGCAATCAACGATATGGTTCGTGCGCAGTTCGGACAGACGGCTATATACTCGACGAGAAAACGTCTGGACAGTCTTCGTCGCGAACAGGAAATAGAACAGTCCGCACCCTAGCTCAGTGTTTGTATGTACTTGGCAGTTGAAAATTAATGGTCTGTCACGTCAAATCGAAACAATAATAAGTGTGCGGGTCCTTTCATCAAGTGAACAAAAGCCACCATGGGACTGGTTCAAACGGGTCCTGGAAATTCACGCTTCAATACCTATAAAAATGACAATTTGTTTTACAGCTCCATCATTGGACACGTCAATACCTCGATGGAAAGAAAATTCATCCCATCATTACATTTTTTATGCTCCAGCAACCAAGTGAGCGCCAAAGATGTGGCAGCGAACTTTGTCAACTCTAACGATTTTCTTTGTTGTATTTCCAAACCAGTTCTAGCCTTTAGTCAAGTCCCACGCGCCTATACCCGGACCATCCGGACACGTAATTACGCATCCCGGATGCTGGCACGTAAAAAGACTAGCACGAGCGGCGAAGCCGCGAGGGCCTTTACTAGCTCGTGGAACTACTTATATTCATTTATTCACGTAATATACATCAAGCAATATAAACCAATCATCTAACGGTGGGTTGCGGTTTCCAGCAACAGCAAGCGCGCCATGGCGCGCGTGCTGTCTGGCGCCAGACGACGGCTGATTTACGTTAGTAATTCTGCATTGTCATTGGTCAATTCACAACGGGTAATGCATTATGCATGTCTACCAAATCGGTAAACAAATGTAAAGAAAAACATAAGCGTTCTCCACGAGATGGTAAAGGCCCTCGCGGCTTTGCCGCTCGTGCTAGTCTTTTTACGTGTCAGCATCCGTTGTGCGTCACGTGTCCGGGTAAGTGCGTGGGACTTGACTAAAGGCTAAACCAGTTCAAGCTGATAACGTGATATTGGACTTGCTTTCAGGGCCAGCCCTGACAGAGTTGTAAATGGTTACTACATAGACTTAAGTGGTTTAGTCAAATTTAACTGGAGTGCTTTCATAGTGTACATCGCGCTAGTTCCTGGTGCAAGACTTAACAACTATCCTGTGTGTCTCTGACTCACTGTCGATTGTAAGCCGGGCAGTGCTATTGTGTAGGATTACCGGTCCACAGCGCCATTGAATGTGCCACATCCGGCCATGGTATACACCACATGCATGACAATATTATAGGAAAACTGGGGAGACGATTGGGAATGCGGAAATCAAAGGACATTTTGTAGAAGTTTCATACGTTGTCAAACTGTATGAAGCACGGCACGAACGGGCTACTGGGCTTTCTTTAATGGCCTGTCACATTATATGCGATCTCATAGGAGACCTTACGGCGACAAAAATATTTCATAAATTTAACAATCGCAGCGAGGACGCAAGAAAATGACAACTTTCTGTCTCAAAGAAGCTCAAGCTACGCCCATACGGTGCTCTTCCCGCGCTTACGATGCGCTCAACTCGCTCTCTATGCGCCCCTGTCAAGATCAATTACTCGATCTAGTCGCTGTCACTGCGTTCACACTACGCTCTGCTCTCTGTTGATACGTCCTAGTATTTCGCGTCGCGCTCTCTATTCGACCAAAATAAGCTCATGTGACGTCACTTGCGCTGTATAAATACCACGACAAAACGGTCAATACACAGTCCAGTTTCAAAATTATTCTACAAGTTCATCGCAGTCGAGTTACTTTCTCATGGAGACTACATCGACTGCCTTGCGCCTATAGGCTGCCTCAATGCCACTTCAATGTCGCACGATTTACGCTCGCACAGGTCAAGAAGATTCACGCTCGTGAAGGTCAAGAAGAGGCGCGAAGCAAAGCTCTGGGAACAAATGCTGCTTACCAGGCAACTGTTCGTCTTGACCAAAGGCTTACCCATGATGGAGAGATCCTGGGAGCCATCAAAAGTATGACCGATGGCGTCCTTAAGGCGTTAGAGGGTATTGTGCGACCGTGGGGGCATCCCGTGTACCCTCCTGATGCACAACCTTTTTACCAGAGGCCACCACAGCCATTCTTTGGACCACCAGGGAACAACATGCAGCGAAGCGCTCGCCGACAGGACACAAGTTGGTCAGATCGGCGCGGCTTGTGTTATGCATGTGGCCTCCCTGGACACTTTGCGAGGGACTGCCCTTCAAGAAGGGGGGCACCAACTGCGCCTGTTCCCACCAATCACATGACAGCTCCTGAGAGCCAGCGGCCACCGATGTGCAATGCCACACGGCACCAGCATCAGCAGGAAGGGTTAAACGAGCTGCCTCTACAGTAGTGGGCCATACTGCAGAGGTTGGCCTGAATGGCTTAAGTGTTAAGATAAATAGTGACTTTCTTTCGCGAGCAGTGGGTGAATGTTTCTCGACTATAGTACTATTCTCGGGGACCCCAGTCTCTAGTCTACTTGATCCTGGATCACAGGTCACCACAGTGGGGGAAGGTTACTTTGTAAGGGAGTTGCTTCCGAAGGGATTTCAGTTACAACCACTTCCGGGACCTTTCTCCATAGTCTCAGCTAATGGAGTCGAGATGCCATACATCGGGTTCTTTGAAACTGACGTTCATGCCGTAGGCCAAATTATGGAGGCACGAGTCGTCCTTGTTCTTCGGGAAGACTGCAAGACACAGCAGGCTTGGAAAAAGGAGGGTGTGCAGTGTATTTTTGGGATGAATGTCCTCCAACAGTGCTGGGAGAAGCTAATGAATGAGAGACACCTAGAAAAGATCCCTTGGCCTTCACCAGACACAATTTGGCATAAGACCCTACAGGTTGTTGGGCAGACAATGAGATTCGGAGAGGGTGATGGCAGAGTTGGTAAGGCATTTACGACTGGGCCACCCATCGCAGTTTTGGCCCGACAGGGAGTTGTTATTCGTGGACGGGGGTGTACTGGTCCGGAGGGCAGAAGCTATGAGGCAATGCTGGAGCCCAGCGGGATCGGGTCTCCTTCAAAACTGACAGTTCCTCCCAGTTTGGTGAAGGTAGAGAGCGGGAAGTTTGACATTGTGTTGTTCAACGAGACAGATGTGGACGTTGTAATACCTGCATCTGCAGAATTGGGAACACTGTACTTGGGTTCGGTCGTTTGTGATGACAGCGGCAATTTTGGTGGCGTAAGCGTTGCAGTGTCCAACATGACTGTAGATGACCACGGGTCTTCCATACTATCTCAGGTAGATGTTGGTGGCCACTTGAGTACCGATGAGTTGAAGAAGGTCAAGTCTCTCCTCGAAAGACACAAAGGGTCATTTTCCCAGAGTGAGCGTGATTTGGGTTATACGGACACAGTGGTACACCAAATAGACACAGGCAGTGCCCACTCCATACGACAGCGTCATAGGCCTCTCCCGCCAACTCAGTACAAGGCAGTGCGTGACCACATTCACGGTCTACTAGAGGAGGGTATTGTTAGGGAGAGCTCAAGTCCGTGGGCGTCACCGGTTGTGGTTGTCCACAAAAAGGACGGCAACATTCGCCTTTGCGTGGATTACAGGTGCCTAAACCAGCTGACTCAACGGGACTCGTTCCCGCTTCTAAGGATAGAAGAGTCCTTACAGGCACTGGGAGGTTCGAGTTTTTTCAGTGTCTTAGACCTTACCAGCGGATATTATCAGGTAGCAATGCACCCCGATGATGTAGAGAAGACGGCGTTTGCAGTGCCCTTTGGGTTATTTGAGTACACCCGCCTACCATTTGGTCTGTCGAATGCACCTGCGACATTCCAACGCCTCATGCAACGATGCCTGGGGGAGCAGTTTTTCGACTACGTTTTGCTGTACCTGGATGACATTATAGTATTTTCTCCTGATCTTGACACACACCTTACCCAACTTGACGAAGTCTTCCAGAAGCTGAAGGAGCACGGCCTAAAACTGAAGCCGTCAAAGTGCCATCTGCTACAGTCTGAAGTTCAGTACCCTGGCCACAGGGTCTCTAGTGCTGGAGTAGCAGTAGACCCCGAGAAGGTGCGAGTCGTTCAGCAGTGGCCTGAGCCAAAGTCTGTGAGGGGGATACGGTCATTCCTGGGATTCACTGGGTTTTTCAGACGGTTCATCAAGGGCTACGCTACTGTTGCTGCTCCCTTCTTCCGTTATCTACAGGGTAGTAAGACCCGGAAGGGTAAAACAGCAAGTTTAAATCAGAGCGTGACATTGGATGATGAAGCTAGGTCTGCTGTCAGGTCGCTCATACAGTGTCTTACAACAGCACCCATTCTGTCCTACGCAGACTTTTCCAAGCCATTTGAGATACACACTGATGCTTGTTCAACAGGTCTCGGAGCAA